TTTTACTTATAAAGTAAATAATATTATGGCAAAAAACAAAATTACTTTTGCACAAACCTAAAATATTTAAAACAAGCTTTTAAATAAACACCTAGGTATAATTTGGTATGTCTCCTATAAATCCTTCTCTTTAACCCATTTATGCCTAGTGTTCCATTATTGGAATGCTAAGCCTGTGCGAGTTATTTATATCCTACTGCTCAAGGTCATCACCAAAGCCTAATTTTTCACACACAAAAAAATATTTGCAACCTCCAGCATAAATGGGTTAATAAACACATTCATCTATAATTCATTTAACAAATTATGGCACAAAGTACACATTAGGTACTGCTCTAAGCATCATATAGCAATGTATAAAACATATAAAAACTCTACATTCCTGAAGCTTAAACTCCAAGGCAGGAAGACAGACAATAAAATAATAAGCAAAAGAGATACATGTTAGATGTTGATCAATTCCATGGGGGAAAAAAAAAAGATACAGGGGTTTGGGACTGCAAGGGTGTAGGTGACATGAAGAATGACTGTAACTTCACGTGAAATAGATATGGAAGGCCTCACAACAGTCTCAGTGAAATAAAACCAGCAAGCCATGCAGATAGCTGATGGTAAGAGTTCAAAACAGAGCCAACAGCAAGTACCAAAGTCCTAAAGAGGAAGCATGCTTGTCATGCTCAATGAACACCAGAGAGGGCAGTGTGGCTAAAGTGGAGAATGAGGAAGGAGATTGTGGTGTTAAGAGGAAGCCAGAGAAGCGCAGACCCTTCATAACCACAGGCTTCTTCCAAGCCTTGAAAAAAGCCCTACAAAATCTGTTTGCATAGTCACATTTTGGTAATATCTGCAAAAGTATAGTATTTTAACCACAGATAGTTAAGATCACTATCACTTTATATTCTGATTTCTCTGTCACACTTCCCCTTGCGGTGAACAACATTAGGTTTTGGGATCCAGGTTACTAGTAGAGTTTAGCAAGATATATTGAGTTTTTTGCTTTAGCATGATATATTCATTAATATACTTTCCAGTTGCTTCTACGTATAGAAAATTAATTCCTAGTGGCTCCTTAAGTGGCAGCCAGGCACAGTGGATCACACCTGTAATCCCAGCACTTTGGGAGGCCAAGGCAGGCAGATCGTTTGAGGCCATCTGAAATTCATGCAGATTATGTTTTGATAACTGGACAGGCTCTCGATGTGTCAGATACCATATACTCAAGAAACCCAACATGTATAGTGAAGAGCTCAAATATAGTCATTTCAGGACTGGCCAAACTATGTCCACTTACCCCCAAGAGAGTTAGTTAGAGCTGAAATCTTTTGAATGACTATTGATGACCAAGTGCAGTGCTTTTATTGTGGTAGAAAACTGAAAAACTGGGAACCTTATAGTGGTGGCTGGTGGCAGAAGAACACGGGCAATACTTACTTAACTTCTTCTTTGTTTGGGGCCAGAACATTAATATTTGAAGTGAATTTGACGTTGTGAGTTCTAACAGGAATTTCCCCAATTCAACAAATCCTCTGAAAAAAATCCATCCATGGCAGATTATGAAGCATGGATTATTACTCTGGGGATGTGGATGTACTCAAGTTAACAAGCAGTAGCTTGCAAGAGCTGAATTTTATGCTTTAGGTTAAGGTGATAAAGTAAAATGCTTTTGCTGTGGAGGAGGGCTAACTGATTGGAAGCCCAGTGAACACCCTTAAGAATAGCATCCTAAGTGGTATCCAAGATGTAAATATCTATTACAGGAGAAAGACCAAGAATATATAAGTAATATCCATTTAACCCATTCACTTGAGGAATCTCTGGTGAGAAGTGCTCAAAAAAATATCATTACTAACCAGAAGAACAGATTACACCATCTTTCAAGAAGCTATACTAATGGGATGACCAAGAAGCTATCCCAATGGGATTCTGTTTCAAGGACATTAAGAAAATAATGGAAGAAAAAAATTCAGGCATCTGGGAGCAACTGTAAATCACTTGAGGTTCTGGTTGCAGATTTATTGAGTGCTCAGAAAGATACAAGATGAATCAAGTCAGACTTCACTGCAAAAAGAGACAGGGTGGTCTCATTATATTGCCTAGGTTGGTCTTGAACTAACTACCCTCAAACAATCCTCCCACCTCAGCCTCCCAAGTAGCTGGGACTAAAGGCCCATACCACCATACCCAGCCTATACTCTAATTTCTAATGAGCCAGAGGAAAAATTGGATGGAGGAAATTGAAGGAAGTATTATCAAAAGAAAAAAAGGGAAAAGAAGTAATGAGGTGCTCCAGATCCGGAATCTGCCAGTAATAGCAAGAAGTGATTCCAAAACCTCTAAATTACTGAGAAATTATTCACAAAATGTGAAATATATCAAACACAGATTTGGTGCTAGGCTATAAGAAGAAAATGAAACACAAATAATAAGAACCTATAAAGTGAGGGTTTCAGAAAAGTATTATATAGGAACTAAAAAGGAAGTCCAGCCACATGTAATTTGGCTTTTGGGGAGCAAAGTTTACATTGATATTTAAATATTCCAGGTAGTCTCCAACTAATGCTGGTGACAGGAAACCAATCAAAGTTTCATGACAAATTAAAAACCCAGAGTCTACTATTTTAGAAATAAATGTAAGATTGTGATGGAAATTCTTTGTATAAATTTAGTATGGTCTTAGATAACAATTTTTTCAAGAGAAAATAATATTATAAAATCATATGAAGAAATGAATGGAGTTTATAACCAATACAGGATGGAAAAAAGTATTGTGGAGATACATTAGATGATTATTTAATTAAAATATTATGCAATTTTCTGAATTTTGTTATGTCTGCTGTTTATCTTTTTAAAATTAAAATATCATCACTCAAACTGAATATTTGCTGGACAGGTTAAGCTCTAAAAACAGGTAAATTGGCTGGGCACAGTGGCTCTTGCCTATAATCACAGCACTTTGGGAGGCCAAGGCAAGAAAAATCACTGGAGCCCAGGACTTTAAGACCAGTGTAGGCAACAAAAATAAAAAGTAAAAAGTAATAGCTGGGCATGGTGGTATATGCCTATGGTCCCAGCTACTTGGGAAGCTGAAGGAGGAGGACTGCTTGAGCCCAGGAGTTCGAGCTGCAGTGAGCTGTGATCATTCCACTTTACTCCAGCCTGGGCAACACAATGATACCAAAAAACTAAAATTTTTTAAAAAAAAAGGTAAATAGATGAGTTAACTTGAAGACAAATCTGAAAAGCTAACCAGAATTCAGCACAAACAGCTGAAAAAGTAGGAAAATGTTGAAGAGTGATTAAGAAAACACAAAGAGGAACATAAGAACATTTAACATGCATCTCAAAGTATGTTCCAAAATAATAAAATATAGAGAATGCAGAAAAGCAAGATTCAAAAAGGGGTTGGATAAGAATTTAATTCCAGAACTATTAATTCTTGGACTGCAAAAGCTGAGTTCTGATAAAACTAAATAAAAATAAATCTATATACTAGTAAACCCAATATGCCAAAAATAAATTCTTTAAAAGTAAATCTTCAAAACAATTGAGAAAAAAAGAGAAATTACCTAAAAAGTAAAAACAGGCTGACAACAGACTCCAAAAAGTATCTATAGAGAACAAAGATAAAGGATTATTATCTTTAAATCATTGTAAATCTAAAATCTATACACAGCAAGATTGTTATTAATTCAACAAGTATTTATCAAATTTCTACTACATGACAGACTCTATTTAAATGTTCCAGAGCTTATGTTCTAGTAAGAATTCTTTCTAGTAAGAATAATGCCAAAAAAGAAATCCTGCTCTCCTGCTGTCCTGAAATTTCTATTTCATTACAATTAAAAGAGATTGGAACTCCTAATTTTCCTGGAGTATTTTTAAATAAATTTACCTGATGGCATATCCTAAGCTTTCTTAACTGGTGGTTCATAAAAACTCTGAAATGAAAATTTGGGAACTGCTCCTTACATGAGCAGTTTTCTGTGCAGAATGTCCATATCTGTCATCAGATTCTCAAAGAGGTCTATGACTAAAAAAGGGTTCTACCCACTTTTCTCTGACCCAACCCCACACACCCAGAATAGTTTGGTGCTATATGATTTCCACAGGACCCTATAAATCATCTTTCAGTCCTTTTCATACATTATTATTTCTACTGTGACTACTCCCACTAGAGAGTAAAACTCCATGAATGCAAAAGCTATCTCTTTTTACCACCATCTAGCACAGAAACGCAAAATTACAGAGCAAAAAGTGAATATTTTATAACTAAAATGAATTGCTAAATATAACTCTGAAGTATACTCCCTTGTTACAGAATTCAGGAACTTAACCTCAGGTAAATACATAATTATTAATCTTTCCTAGTTAAATTTTTTAATGTTGCCTATCAAGTCTATTAAACCACCTTAAAATATTTTAATGCAAATGTTTTTCTTGGCAATAAAATTTACATAACCTTGATTATATATTTAAAAATATCAAATTTCATTAACTTCATTTATGTAAATGTAGAAATTTGGAAGCCTAGCTAATTATATTATTAAATGCATTGAGTGTCTATAGATAGTACCAATGTTGTTTTTACATCCAAGAAGAACATACATCATAAAAACCCATCTTTAAATCATTTTTCCCATAAGAAATAGCAACAGAGGCAGAATATGAAATTATATACATAAAGAGATATAAAGAAATAGATATATACATATAGATGTATAGCCTATCAAAGATGAAGATGTAAACTTAAACAAAAAAAAAGGGCAATGAAGGGCACAAGACAGTGATTTCCTTCTAAAATAAGTGAAATTCAATCCTATATAACAGGAACAAACCAGATGGTATCAAGGCGTTTTTGAACATTTAAATCTATCCATTAAAACAGAGAAGATTATCCTCAAATACAAGTGGCTTTCCTTTTTTACATTTTTTAAGAAAATGTGATTGTAAAAAATATATAGCTCATGGGAAAATATCAAAGGTTAAAAATAAATACTTACCAAGTTGGCCATATAAATTGTGAGCAGCCCTCTCCTGCAAATAATTTTAAAAGGAAGATATTAAACTTCAATTTGACTTAATAATCACTTTATTATTTATTAGAATCCTATAAATAATTATCAGGAATTGAGAAACATACTGATAATTTAAAAAAAGATAAATTGTGTTGAACTAATTTTTCTGTGCCCTAAAATTAGCTGCATCTGAATAAATTCTATAAAATCATTCAGTTCATTGTCATTAAATATTCTTAGTGGTAATTAAATTTTTTAAATTACTATTTCCCCACTGTTACTTCTTATTGGCAAGAGAGGTATAGTTCCTTACTCGTCTATGTTTATGCTAGAAAAACCTAAATTTCATAATAAAGAATCCTAATTCATCTTGCCAAAAAGTACAGAACAATTCTAACCAAATAAAAATTGAACAAAAAAATAAATAAATAAAACAGGACTTCTTTCTGTTTCACAACAACATTATTGTTTGTTTCATTAAATGATATTACAAATCATACTAAATCACATTGGTTTTAATTTCATTGTTAAATAAAAAGTCAGGCACTTTCTAATGACAATGGACAAAGGGAACTTTCTAATGCCAATGGACAAACAAAAGTTCTATAAACACTTTATAGAAAAATTGTGTATTTATTTACCAAATGTATTTAATAAAAATTCAGGTAGAGAGTCAAACATAAAAACCTTTTTCTGCAGTTAATCAGTCTGTTTATCTTATACTACATATAAGAAATGAATGAAGCACATTCTATTCTCTAGGAAATGTCTTCAACAGGTTTTAAGAGTTCAAGGACAGAGTTCAACCTCTGAAAATTACAAAAATTTATTTTAGTTTCAGTTATGAACATTTTCAGTACTCAAAGAAAATAAAGTATATATAAAAAGTACCAATGTCAAATCATTTTCATTTAAATATATCACATCTTCACAGCGATACTGTCAATGAAATCTTCTTGATCCCTGATTCATACACAGTCTTCAATGTTCATTATTTTAAATAGTTTGCTAAGATTTTTAATATTCCTAAAGCCACATGGAGGCAGTATGATTTAACTGAGCAGTGCTAAAGTCAAGTCAGGTACTCTGGGACTCTGTAATTTAGTCATCAAAATTAGGGAACATTTGAGGGACTAGTTATCTACTGATTAAATCTACTTATATATTTTTAAACATAAAAATGATTAAAGAAAAAATTTACATTATCACCAATATATAAAATATAACATTGGATCCACCATGGTTGAAAGAGGCAGGGGTTATAGGACCCACAGTGCCGTACACACAGTGCCATACTCTCCTGGCAATCTCCTTCCTCAGATCCTAATGCATTTAAACAGAACAAGAGAATCCAATTGCCCTTACAAAAAGAGTTTTTAAAAAACCCTGGTAAAGGTGATGGGATGATCTAAGCAGCAAACCACCATGATACAAACCTGCACATTCTGCACATGTACTTCTGAACTTAAAAGTTATGGAAAAAAATTAAATAAAAATCACTTGTAAGATTGTAAGTTTTTTTAATGTCCTTTTTTCTATAATTTTTATATATGGATTAAGTGTTCTTACTAGTTCTCACCAAAAATACTCTAATATTGCTTCTTTTAAATAAATAAGTTTCACCAATAAAAACTACGGTAACATTAACATCCAAGAGTCTTGCATACACAGAAGAAAGAAAAGTTAAGTGTTTCTCAAAGGATACCTATTTTTACCAAAAGCTGGTTACATATGAAGAAAAAAAAGCATTACAAATTCCAAAATTAAAATGTTTCTTTACTTTCTGTGAAAAAGCCTGATAATTTTTTTTTTTTTTTTGAGATAGTATCTCACCATATCACCCAGGCTGGTGTGTAGTAGGACAATCATAGCTCACTGCAGCCTGAAACTCCTGGGCTGAAGTAATCTTACTGCCTCAGCCTCCCAAATAGCTGAAACTACAGACACACACCACCATGCCCAATAATATTTAATTTTCTGTAGAGACACAGTTTCACTGTGTTGTTCAAGCTGGTTTGAGCTTCTGGGTTCAAGCAATCCTCCTGCCCTGGCCTCCCAACGTGCTGGGATTACAGGCATGAGACACTGCACCCACTGATAAATGCGTTTCAAAGCTGAGTATCTCTTATCCAAAAATGTTTGGGACTAGAAGTGTCTCCCATTTTGGTTTTTTGTTTTTTGTTTTTTTTTTATTTTGTAGTATTGCACATACATAATGAAATAACTTGGGAATGAGGCCCAAGTCTAAACATAAAATTCATTTATGTTTCTTATACACCTTACACTTGGCAAAAACTGCAATTACTTTTGCAGCGACCTAACTACATATAACCTAAGGTAATTTTACACAACATTTTTAGTAATTTTGTGCATGAAATACAGTTTGTGTTCAGTACTTATCTGTGAAATTTTCCACTTATGGCATCATGCTGGTGCTAAATCACAATTAATGTTATTATGTTCTTATTGTAAGTCACAGAAACAAATCTTTTTGTCAATTGTGTTTTTGACTGTAATTACCTTGGACATTTTGTCACTCACAGACAGTTGTCTTGATCCTCTAATGCATTTATAATCAGCCATAGGACTTTGACAGGCGGTCTTAAATGCAGGTTTCTGATATCTTTGGCAATTGTGGCATTGGAATAAAGGGAAACCATTCAGGACTCACAAAGAGATGAAATGTTCATGAATGTCAAGCAGAACAAGAGTTAACTGAATGGACAGAACTAATAGAAATCTTAAGTAATCTCTTCTAACTTTTTTGCTTAAAACACTGATGAACCTTGTTTTATTTTTCAGAGTCAAGGAAACTTTTCTTTTGAGCTATCTAAAGTTTTTAACAATTGAGTAAGGTATATTCCTATGAACAAAGTTGGGAGAATATCTGTTTCTTTCTGCTTGGTTTCTCCAGAATTTGGAAACTTTTTAAGTATTTTTGACGTATGGCAATATAGTGGTTGCAATAAAAATCCATTTTCTTTTGCAACCGGGCACAACTGGAGAGACTGGTTGTTTCACCAAGGCTTTGACTGGAAGCATATGCTTCCCTTTAAGGAATTAAGCTTGACTTGCAGAGCCAATAAAAGCCACTTCAGGAAACTGGCCTCACGCCATGTCTACACAGTTCCTGTACAGGGTTCCTAACTTGTGGTGAATAAAGAATGCTGCTTTCTATCAGGCCCTGGAGCCCCAAATTATTTTGAGACCTCAAAAAGAGGGGAATTTACTCAATTAACAGGTATTTGAGAGTACAAACCCATAGTTGGGCTCAGCTTTTAAAAGTCTTATCTGAGATTCTATATGGAACAGAGCTCCATCAGAGCCAATTTTAAAAGCTTTTGTGAAAATAATTATTCTTGCTGCACTTTATGCAAATGACTAGGCCAAGTATAAGACTAAAATTTATTTTACAAACAACTCAGTCCTATCATGATTTGTTTGTAACAAAATAAGACTGGAGAGAAAGAAATAAGTTTCAAAACTTATCATACACTTGTCATTAACTTCTAGTCTCCTTAGTTGTTTTTAACTTTTGTCTGTATTTTAGGTTAACCCTGATTATTTCTATGAACCAATCATTGATCTCTGGCCACAGCTCAGAAGAAACAAAAGAGATGGCTAATGTAAAAATCTGGATCAATATTCCAATTCTGGGCAATTATCCTGCAAATCCTACCAGGTGGTGGGAATAAATGGGGTGCCCATAACCCAACAGTTTCTTTTTGTTTTGAAAAATAAGACCAAAGCAGCTAACCAAACCAAGCCCCGTGCACCCAAGTCTTAGCAGGCATAACTACAGCCGCCAGTTATCTGGGCAGGTCAGCAGCCTCAGGATTTGTGAGCTGTCCTTAACCCCATGTTTTGTTTTGATACATGTCTTCTAATAACCTGGTTTGTCTCTTCTCACCTTCAGGCCATGCAACCGGAGCCTCGACCGATGGCTCCCTTTTACCAGGGACCCTTAGATAGGCCTCTGAGGGAGTTCTGACTGCTGTTTTCCCAAAACAGCATCCCTGTCAGTAGGAAGCAGTTAAGATTGGTCATCATCCTTAACCCAAAGGCAGTTAGATGTACCTCTTCGGAGCGGGGGAAATTGATAGTGACAAGAGGCAGTCAAATGCCTTGGCAGTCAAATGCCTGGGTGGGTCCCTGGTGAAATCTGACATCCACCCTGAAGACAGTTTAAAGCCTGAAAGCCAAGCTACAAGTCAAATCCACAGACTGGATTGAGAACAAGTCTTCCTGTTTGACACACTTTCCTCCAACTGATCCCCATCCTTCACCTATTTTACATATACCTACCCTTTCCTAATTGGTTTTCTACACTGTCGTGCCAACCTTTGAATGGAGTCTCTGGTTTAATTTTTTTTTTTGCACACTCACAAACCAATCAGCACACACTTCCCTATTCTGAGCCCATAAAAGCCCCAGACCCAGCCACATTGAGAAAAAAAAAAAAAAACCACCAAACTGCAGGGGTGGGGGACCACACTCGCATCCCCTCTCTGCTGAGCTGCTCTGCCAGTCAGTAAAATTCTTCTCTGCCCTCCTCACCCTTCAAATATGTCAGCATATCCTAATTTTTCTTGGACATGGTACAAGAGCCTGGGAACCACCAAATGTGGGTACAAGCCATAACACAGGCAGGCCAAACAGGCAGGGTGCCTTCAATGGCAGGCCCAAGGCTAAGCAAGGCCTGGGTGCAGGGCAAGGGGACATCACCAGCCATGGAGGTCCTGGTTGGCAGAGTGGCCAAGAAAAATCCTTCATCAATACCTCACACGTAAGGCATATGAGGCACTAAACAAATGATTATGGAATTACTAGACATAGCCAACAACATATTTCTAAGAGCACAGCCTTACAGAAAAAAGTATATTACAGACACATAATCACCAAAGATAACCATTAGAACAAAGATGGGCCAATTAATGATACTAATTTATTAGCAAGCAAAGAAGTGTTCAAGACCTCCTTACAGTTGCATTAGAACTTAACAATACGCAAGGTAGAATC